GAAGTTTAGAATAAAAAAATTATTTTTTATTATATAGTAATGTATGAAAAAAACAAGACACTAGTAATGCTGCAATCGTACAATAGATACATAACAAGTTAATCACAATTACAAAATCAGCTTCACCAACAATTTAGCAGCTTACCACTCGCAAAACATTGCTTCTCCTTTGTTAAGAATAAGACCCTTTTGAGTTTCGACTATTGTTTACTTGTGTTATATAGGTGCACGGCGGGAAGTGAGAAGTAAGAAGTTGGGATCATGAAAAATTTTAAATTTAATTGTTTTTATTTTTAGAGTAATTTAGTACGAAAAATTATTTTTATAACTTAAATTATAATAAACTATAAAATAAAAATTTTATGATGAGGGATGAGTTCTCTAATTTAAAATTTTTTAATTTATAATTTAAATTATGAAATAAGATACTCAATTTAGTAATTGTTGCAAATAAAAAAATAGAATATTGAAAATGACAATTAATTTTTCTATTTTTTTCTCGCCGTCGCTGCTAGGGTTCTCCTTCTCTGACGTGCGCCTCTCACCTCGGTGCCCCTCCTTGCTTTTGCAAGGCCTCCCTCCTCTTTCTTTTTCCTGGTTTTCTGCCTCTCCATTCCATGGATCAGACTCGTATTTTGGCCTGGAACTGTCGAGGTCTTGGAGATACTTCTGCGATTTCAGAGTTGAAGAAACTCTGTTTCCAACATAAGCCCAGCATCATCTTCCTCTCCGAAACAAAGCGCACAACGATGGAGATGACCTCGATCCGCCCAGATCTAGGTTTTGATCAGTGTTTTGCTGTTGATTGTGTAGGAAGGGGGGGCGGCCTCGCTATGCTCTGGCGTGACGATTTTAGTTTAACTATTTCCACTTTTTCCCAATCTCACTTAGATGTGGAAATTGTTGATCCGGGTGAGGGTAAATGGAGACTCACAGGGTTCTATGGACGTCCGGAGGCTGCTCGAAGAAAGGAATCATGGACCCTGTTAAAATCACTCAAGGCTGCCTCTTCTCAACCGTGGCTGTGCTTAGGTGATTTCAATGAAATTCTGCGGCAATCGGAAAAGGCAGGAGGGAACCAATGACCATATAAACAAATGGAAGTTTTTGCAGAGGCTTTAAACTTCTGCGACTTTAAAGAAATGGGTTTCAAGGGTCCTCAATTTACTTTTATAAGGAAGATGCATGACACTATCATCAAGGAAAGACTAGACAGAGTTTTGATGAATCCGGGATGGTCGGGGATGTTTCCGGGTGCTTTCTCCCATCATTTGTTGGCACTGAAATCGGATCATGCTCCAATACTGGTGATAGCAACAAAAACAATGAATGGTTTTCAACATAAAAGAACTAAGCTGTTTCGATTTGAGAACTATTGGATCAAGGATCCCGACTGTGAAGGAAAAATTAAGGATGGCTGGAAGACTGTAGAACGAGACACAAACATGTCCCGAGTGTTGTCAAAAATTGCATCATGTGGTTCCCTCCTTATGGACTGGAGCCAACACAAATTCGGCAATATACCGGAAAGAATTAAATTGTTGCAAAATGAACTCTTGAGTGCTCGAAATGGTTCAGCACATGACAACAGTTTAGGGAGGATGGAAGCATTAGAACAGGAACTCAATGATTGGCAACGACGAGAAGAGGTCTTATGGAAGCAGCGCTCAAGGGTACAATGGTTAAAAGAGGGGGACAAAAATACTGCTTTGTTCCATAACAGAGCTTCAGCTAGGCACAAAAAGAATCAATTGCTGGACTTCTGGATGACAGGGGCTCTCTTGTAACAGATAAAACAGGGGTAGAAGGACTCTGCATTAAGTATTTCAGAGATTTATTCACTTCCAAATACACTGGTCCAAATTCCAGCATCCTTAGCGCATTACAAGGGAGAGTTTCGCCTTTGATGGCAAATAACCTTGATAGAGACTTTACTAGTTCTGAAGTTCTTGTTGCCTTGAAACAAATCCATTCTTCAAAGGCCCCAGGACCTGATGGGATGAATGCCAATTTTTATAAAAATTACTGGCATATTATAGGAGGGGATATCATATCAATTGCGCTGAACTTCCTTAATAATGGGTTATGGTGAGAGATGTGAACCTTACTCATATTGTTTTGATCCCGAAAGTTAAAAGTCCCTCTTCTATGAAGGATTTTCGGCCCATAAGTCTTTGCAATGTGCTGTACAAAATTATATCCAAAGTCTTAACCAATAGGCTTAAATCGATCCTACCGCATATTATATCAAATAATCAGAGTGCTTTTGTTCCTGGGAGATTAATCTATGACAACATCATGGTAGCCTTTGAAGCCATCCATCATTTGAAAAATAAAAAGGTTGGTCGGAGAGGGCATATGGCTGTCAAACTTGATCTTAGCAAGGCTTTCGATAGAGTAGAATTGAATTTCTTAGAGGACACTATGCGAGCAATGGGTTTTCCTGAGCGGTGGATTAACCGTGTCATGACGTGTGTTCGCACTGTGGAATACTCCGTCTTGATCAATGGGTGTCCAACAAAGAAATTCACTCCAAGTAGGGGTATAAGGCAAGGAGATCCCCTTTCCCCGTTCCTCTTTCTCTTATGTGCTGAAGGATTATCAGCTCTATTATCAAGGGCTATCAGAAGAGGGGATTTAAAGGGATTGACTTGGTGCCGAGGATACCCTTGCCTATCGCATTTGTTTTTTGCTAATGACAGTTTGTTGTTTGGAGAAGCGTCTGTCCAAGAAGCTACAAGGCTGTTGGAAATCTTGAAGGAATATGAGGGGGTTTCTGGTCAGCAAATTAATCTTGACAAGTCCTTTATTTTTTTCAGCAGTAATACTTCCAATGTTGTGCAGCAGGGGGTGATGCAAACTTTAAATATATCCAAAGTCATTGCAGATGATAAGTATCTTGGACTCCCCTTAATTATAGGGCGAAAGAAAGCTATCTGTTTCGATTCTATCCGAGAGAGAGTTTGGTCAAAAATCAAAGGATGGAAAACAAAGTTGCTATCTCGTGCCGGTCGAGAAATTTTGATTAAAGCAGTTGTACAAGCTATTCCTACATACTGCATGGGTTGTTTTAAGCTTCCGCAAAATTTTCTTCTGTCCTTAAATAGCATCATTAGCAACTTTTGGTGGGGAGATAACACTGATAGAAGACGAATCCATTGGTTACGGTGGGATCTCGTGTGTAAGCCTAAGCACTTTGGAGGACTAGGCTTCAGAGATTTTAGAGCTTTTAATTTAGCTATGTTGGCAAAGCAGAGCTGGCGGTTGATGTAGGATAGGACCACCTTATGCTATCAAATTCTCAGAGCTAAATACTTTCCCAATGGAGATTTATTGGGAGCCTCTGTAGGAGCTAAAGCTTCTATGGTCTGGCGAGGGGTTGTTGATGGTCTTGGTATTCTTAAACTGGGTTCCACTTGGCGAATAGGCACTGGACAAGACATCAGACTCTGGAGGGACAACTGGTTGCCTTCTGGAGCTATCCCTCGGCCACAGTCCGCTCTTATCCAACAGGACATGGATGATAGGGTCAGTGCTTTCATAGATGTCAATACCGGTTGCTGGAAGGAAGGAGATGTTCGTCAACAATTCTGTGCAGAAGATGCAGAGAGCATTCTACACATCCCCCTTAGTAGAAGTTGCTCAGTTGATAGATTAATATGGCTTGGGACCAACAATGGCAAATTTTCAGTTAAATCTGCTTACAAATATGCTTGGGAGTTGATCTTTGGCACTCAGCACCACGCTCATGATCAAATACTGAAACCAGTTTGGAGATCAGTCTGGTCATTGAATGTCCCCTCTAAACTGAAGCAT